CCGTCGACTGAAGATCTAACACCTCACCAACCACACGTGTTAGATCACTTTTACAGGAACACGTGTGGGTGGAGGTGTGCGTGGCAACAACCACTGAGGTGTCCAACAACCACTCAGGGTCACAGAGGTGATAATCGCTCACTCCTAAAGGGTGGCGTGAAGAGACGAGCCGGGACCCACAAGCAGGTGTAGGCGAGGTGGGGCCCGTGTGGCGGAACACACGGGGTAGGTAAGTGAGGTTGATAGAAATTATACAAAGTCCACAACAGTTCGTAATTCTAGGTTATTCACTCGAAGCTGACTTAGGTCACTGGGAATCGTCTTAGATTCCTACTAAACAGTTTACTGAGCGGTATGGTTACGGATCACTGGTACTAAAGCCGATGATCACAGATAACTTTAGGCAGTCCAGTTCTACACTGCCGTGATCGGAAACGGAGTTATTCTTCGGGTATCACTTATCTTGGTTAATATATATATGCGCGTCGTTGTGGAACCGGATTCTGACTAGACGGAATCACGTAGACGTGATTGATATATAATGGGCTTATGACGTCGCGTTAAATGGTGAATTCAGTGACTTTGGCTGGAGTCACGGGTTGTGCGTCCTAACCAAGTCGATCTAGCCGTTTAAAATTCCCACTGTCCAATACAAACGAAACAAGTTACAAATAAAAGGTTAAACACTCCATGGCCTTCATAGGGTATACTTAAATATATTAATAAAAAAAATGACCTTGAGAAGAAGTATAAGTTAGGAGTCGTGTCCAAAGAATTTTCAAAGATTTACTCATTGATGCTATCTAAAATAATTACAAGAGCCAAAATATAATACTCTGAGAAAAAAATTACCCAAATTAAGGGCAACATTAAGAAAACATGGATCACTATTTCCCAAATATTAGAATCAAAAAAGATTTTTAATAAAAAACAATACTCCTATCCAATGACGATGGTGTGCTTTCAGCCTCTAACACTGCTATTTTATTCAATAGGTTCTTCTCATCCATTGGGACATTCCTTGTTCATGATATTCCATCCTCCCATACTAATGTCAAGGACTATCTTACAGGTAACTATCCAGAGTTTCTGTACCTAACGCCTGCTAACTCTACTGATGTTAATGAGATAATCCTTTCCATTAAAACTAAGTCAAGTGCCCTTGATGAGATACCATCACTAATTTACAAAAAAAACTCCAGATTTCTAGCTCCCGCCATTGCATTGCTCTTCAACAAACCACTTGAACTCCAAACCTTTCCGGATATTCTAAAAAAAAAGCGAGAGTAACCCCAGTCCATAAATGTGGTGATCTCACTGATGTCAACAATTACAGACCTATATCAATTCTGCCAACCTTGTCAAAAATATTTGAAAAGCTAATCTACAAGCAGCTTTACTCTTATCTAGCCAAACACAATATACTTAGCTCTTGCCAATATGGTTTCAGACCCCAAAAAAAGCACTAACGATGCACTGATTTGTATGATTAGCTTGATACATAAAGCTCTTGATAAAAATTAGTTCCCTGTTACGATATTTGTGGACCTACGTAAGGCTTTTGACACTGTCAAAAACCTTCTTCTTAAATTACATCATTATGGAGTCAGAGGTCACTCCCTCCAATACCTTCAGTCTTACCTTACTGACAGGCTCCAGTATGTTTCTGTGAATAATTCCATTTCTTCTACCCTACCCATAAATATTGATGTTCCACAGGGCAGCATACTTGGCCCTCTTCTCTTTCTCATCTACATTAATGACCTTCCAAATGCCTCTCAACACCTCAAACCAATCTTATTTGCTGATGACACAACCTTCATTTTCTCCAGTCCTGACTCTCTTGCTCTAAATGTCACAGTGAATACTGAACTAAATAAAGTCCATCTTTGGTTAACTGCTAACAAACTCACCCTTAACATTGACAAAACTTTCTATGTTTTGTTTGGTAATAAATCCTAAAATGAAATTAATCTAAAAATAAACAATATTCAAATAAGTAATAAAGTTGATGGTAAATTCCTTGGTGTCCTCATCGCTAATAAGCTGAATTTCCAAGGAAAAATTCTAAATATAGCAAAAAAAGTTTCAAAAACATTTGCCATTCTTTCTAAGAATAGATATTTTGCATCTCACCCTGCCCTGGTGATGCCCTATTACTCTCTCATTTATCCTTATCTCAACTATGGTATTTGTGCTTGGGGTTCTACTACCCAAAATCATTTATGTCCTCTAATTACTGAGCATAAAGCTGCTATTAGAACAATATCTAACTCTGGTCCCATACATCACTCGGTACCCTTACTCAAATCTCTGAATATGTTAGATATTAAGTCACTGCACATCCTCTCAAGTGAACTCTATATGTTTAAAACTCTGAACTATAATGTCAATCCTGACCATAAAAGCTTCCTACAAGGATGTAACAGAACCCATGGGCACCACACCAGAAACAAATACCTATTTGATATTCCTAGAGTGCTACTTAACCTTACTAGAAATGCTTTACAAATCAAGGGACCCAGCATGTGGAATGACCTTCCTAATCATGTCGAAGGCTGTACCTCTCTCAACCAGTTTAAGATAAAAACGAAGCACTACCTAATAAATTCCCTGTAACCTACCTTACCCTCTATTGTCAATCCATGTCTGTTTTTTTAAACAACGCTGTTTGTCGACCTAATTGTATTTGTGCTGCTTTTTCAGCCATGTCCCTCCCCCCCCCCCCTTTTTATTATTCCTTTTTTTCAACACAATTTATACTTTAATCCCAGTTACTATTAAGATTTAGTCTAAGTGTTGTTATTTCCCCACATCTTGCCCGAAACGCTATGCGTATTAGTGGTTTTAGTTTAGTTAATTTATTATGCGCCCCATACCCATCTTGTGGGCGGCAGTGGTGGAAAGGGCTACAGAGGCACACAATTGGCTCAGGGACTGAACCCCACAATTCACCCAGCCAAGCAAGTTACAATCTCGTTGAGCCAGCTACAAAATTCAGTATAAGTCGTCACATCATAAATGGGCTCGAAATCGACCATAAGTAGTGCATTATATAATTTATCAGTATTGTGCAGCCTGTGATCCCCGCCTGGCTGGACACTGATACCTCGGTAGTTTTCATGTGTCCGGACACCGGCGACAGGGTGGTATTATTTATTTAACTTAAGATATATATTTTTTTAATGTCACATTAACGGCTACATCTTCCTTTCTTCTGACATATAGATTTTTAAGGTTAATTAAAATATATAGAAACTAATTATACAATTTATTGGCTGGTGTGCAGGGCTTCACACTCTCAGAGCTAGCCATCAAGTGACTATCAAAATGCATATATCTTCGTTTACACTTCAGTTATATTTATGACAAAGGATTTTAAATGTAGTCTATATTTCTACCTTTCTGATGACATAAAAACTTTCGTTAATTACAATATCTAGATCAAACTAACATTGATTTTCAAAAGGTTGTATTTTCCATCAATGGAGAGCATCAGCCAAGAAACCTTTAAAATATGAATATCTTTCCTCACCCAATAAGATCTAATCTCTGAATAAAACGCAAAAACAACTTGACTGTAACCTATCCACCGCTGCCCATTGGATGGAGGGGTTTATGTGTAGGATATACATATCAATTGTGACACTAGCGCTCCTTATATATCAGTTGCTTAAATAACAAACTGTACTTGTGGTCGGTCTCGAGCCCATCGTTGATGTGACGATGTGAATTGCCTTTTGTAACCAGCTCATCAAGACTATAACCCGCTCGGCCACATGAATTGTGGAGCTCAGTCCCTGAGCCTCTGCAAACATTATGTTTGTAACTCATCATCTATGTATGTACTTTTCCTGAATAACAAAAAATGAATTTGAATTTGAATTTGAGAATGCCGGCACAAGGGCGGGAAGCCAGCTGGCCCAAGGCGGGTGCCTACCCGACACCCCCCCCCCCCCCACTTGTTCTTCAAAATTAGCCAATCACACGACAGCATCTTGGAGCCTCCCCATACTGGTGCGTCCCCTAGTAGGCTCTTGTCCCTTAATCATGAGACTCCCGTGATATCACAGCCTACCAGCGATGTTTACACAAGCGAAGGAACCGTAAGGCATTTTTGGCCTGCCCGAAACGCTTTGTGTAATAGTGGCTTTAGGCATTGTATGTACTAGCTCTATCTATAAATCTATCAATTTTTGTAAAATCTCTTGTATGTATGTACCTTACCTGAATAAACATTTATTTATTTATTATTTATTCATATTTGGTTCAAACTCCTTCTCGCTCCTGGTACTGTTTCCAAGTAACTTAAGGTTAAAACTAATGGCTGTAATTCCTTTCCTAGAAAGGCTACTGCGGCCTCCGTAGTCTTACTGAACAGCCAAGGGTATCTGCTTTTTATAGATTCCCTACAAGACAAGCCTAGCTCCCATATTAAGAAAGCCAGAATGAGTGCAATCAGCTCGGCGAATTCTTGTGCACCCCGAGTGATTGCAAAATGGCAATGTGTGCTCTTTTATCGAACATCTGTATGCTAGCTGGAATTCCTTTCTCTCACACCAGTGAGGCAAGATTTACCCTCCCTGAACCCATGTTGGTGGTTGGTCACAAAGTCCCTACTCTCCAGATGTGTCACTATGTTTTTTCTCACGATCTTCTTCATCACCTTGCATGGTATACTAGTTAAGGATACTGACCTGTAGTTCAATGCCTCTTGTCTGTCACCCCTTTTTGTATATTGGGACTACATTAGCCGTCTTCCATATTTCTGATAGGTCTCCAGACCTACTATACACTCTGGAGCGTGGCAAGCAAAGTGTTTCTGCACACTCTTTCGATACCCATGGTGAGATTCCGTCTGGACCAACAGCCTTTCTCACGTCCAGATCTAACAAATGCCTCCTAACCTCATCTCTGTTAATTTGAAACCCTCCCAAGGCCGCCTGGTTTACTGTCACCTCCCCTAGCGAAGTGACTTCACCTCATTCTATTATCAAGACCTCCTGGAATCTCTTATTGAGCTCTTCACACAGCTCTTTGTCATTCTCTGTGTACCTATCCTCACCCATTCTAAGTTCCATCATCTGTTCTTTCACTGTTGGTTTCATCCTGATATGACTGTGGAGTAGCTTTGGTTCGGTCTTGGATTTATTTGCTATATCATTCTCAAACTTTTTGTCTGCTTCTCTTCTCACACTGACATGCTTATTCCTGGTTCTCTGGTATCTCTCTCTGCTTTCTGCTGTTCTGGTATTTCGGAAGTTCCTCCACGCCCATTTGTTCAGTTCCATTGCTTCCATACATGCCCTATTAAACCACGTATTCTCCTTTTGCTTCTCAGTTTTTTTTTTTTGGGGGGGGGCGGGATAAACCTGTTTATTGTCCCACTTTGGGGGGACTTTTTGCACTTTTGGGGGACCAACTCCATCATGTCTTATATGGACTTAGTTCTGAGTTCTCTGTCCCATGATATATCCCTTAGGAATTTTCTCATCTTCTCATTATTTCCCTTTCGGTACACCAGCCCTCTTGTTTTCTAGTTTTTTTGGGGGGAAGATAACTCCTAGCTCTACCAGGTACTCAAAGATCAATACACTGTGATCACTCATTCCCAAGGGGGCTTCTAACTTAACTTCCCTTATATCCCACTCATTCTGGATGAATATCAGATCAAACATGGCTGGTTCGTCTTCTCCTCTCGTTCTTGTCGGTCCCTTGATGTGTTGGCTTAGAGTGTTTCTTGCTGCCACTTCCAGCAGCTTAGTTCTCCATGTGTCTGGTCCTCCATGTGGGTCTCTGTTCTCGCAATCTATTTTCCCGTGGTTGAAGTCTCCCATGATTAGTAGTTTGGATCCGTCCCTACTAGCGACAGAAGCTGCACTCTCTACTATATTAATGGTAGCCCTGTTGTTTCGATCATATTCCTGTCACTCATTCCTGTGTGAGAGTCCTCTTGTTCGAGCGAGGAGAGTTCCCTGTGTGTGTACCCTCCTGCTAGGGCGAGGAGAGCTCGTCTGTGCGAGCTCTCTGACTGTCGGTGTGGGTGTGTAATGACAGGTGTAGGAGAGACTGTGGGTGTAACTTCCCCGAGTATTTTGACTTATGCCTTCCATCCTTATACGCCCTTCTCCCTTATACACTTCATCTCCTGCCCTTATATCTTCCTCTCCTTAGCTTCCCTTCAGCTGTCTGTCTTATCTACCTTATAACATGACTTGATTTCCTGCCCTTATAATATCATTGATGAACAAATAGAGAATTTGTTAACAAAGTCATCAAATAATTAAGCTTGATTAACAGAAGGTAACAGTAACATGATTACTTCAGGAACTTGACTAAAAGCTTCCATACACTTAGCAATATATATTCCCTGTAAACTAGTTAGTTTTAACTATCACATTTACCAGTGGGCGGGCCACATTTGTTGGTTCAATAATGGCTCTGACCCTGCTCAAAACACTATAGTCTCCCCTTCAAAATCCTCTGAATATTATTTGCAATAAATACATACCGATACAATTATTTTGTTTTCCATAAAATAGTCTTGTATATTAGGTGCGTATTATACGCTGGCGTATAAAGTATAGATATAGATATAGATGATATAGACACGATGATATAGACTTCCAGACACGATGACTGGAAGTCATCCTGTCTGCTGGGCGCCAATCAACGCCATTCTCCCCATAAAGGGGGCGTCCAATAATTGCTATGGGGGCTGGAAAGACTCCATATATAAGCGGAGGAGAGGCACGGATGAAGCACACACCATACCAGCGACCAGTCCCTCTCTCAGGACTCTCTAGACCTCCGAGGCAGTCTTCGTGGTGCTGGTCTGTGTAGATCCGAGACTCGTCCCCCTCCAGCTATGGTTTCCTTCAGAACGGTAAGTCCGGGCGGTACTGAGAGGGACGACCGCTGTCTTCACTTGTTGTTGATACAGCTTCACAGAGTCGTTTTGAACCTCCCAAGGCTTCCTGTTTATTGCAAGTGCCTATTTGCAGCCTGTCCCCTCGAATAGTATATAGGATTTTGACGTATAAATCCCCAGCGTGAAAATATGACGCAACATAAATCATAGCGGCTGGTAAAATTTGCTCACTACTTTGACACTGAAAGAATTCTTTGTCTCTGTGGCGCATTTGGGTATTAAGTTTCCACCTGTGTGTCCTTGTTCGTATTCCACCCGTGTTAAGTAATCTGTCTCTATCTACCCTATCTACCCTATCAATTCCCTTTAAAATTTTGTGTGGGAATCATGTCTTCCCTAACTCTTCTGTCTATCAGCGACGTGTTGTGCAATTCACGCAGGCTTTCCTTGTAACTAATGCCTCTTAGTTGTGTCGTGATCGCTAAACCCAGGCTCATTCTGAACACAACGATTACACAACTATAACTCCCTTGCATCAGGAACAGTTACTTCCATCATGTAATTCCCTACACCAGAACCCTTGAGGCGTACCACTAGGTTTACACAGGAACTCAATGAAAGAACATATGGAAGGTGATTAAAGGCCGTCGGGTTTTTCCAATTTAATTACATAAATATTATCTGATAATAGTTAACACATTAACCTTCTTTCTCTAATTAAATTAGCTTCTCATACAAGTAAATAACCCCACTCTACCTTCCCAGTCACCACCTGAACTCGTAACCTCCGCCTAAGTCCTTAATACCGAATCAACACTACAACTCTACACACCTGGTTAGTCTTCCACACAATACTCACATCATGCAGACTCTACTCGGTCACAAGATCACATCATGTACCCATTTGGTCGGTTTCACTACCTTGGTGCCACAGACAGAGATAATAACTTGCTAGGAGCGCTGCTACCACGAGACTCTCCAGCCGGTCATAGCCTCAAACATTGCACCCTGCATCCCAAGGAGGGTATAATCCGTTTAACTGTAAATCACCTTGTTCCCAGAAACTACAGGACACCCTTTGTCCTCTTGGCCGGTACATTTGTGTGCGTGGGCAACGGTTGTCTTAATCCCTTTGACCTTACCTCAATGTGTGACCAATCGAAATACTTAACATGTACTTCCACTCATCATTTGTTAAGTGTTGTAGTGTTTGATTCACTTGCTAATATTCACTCCTAACTTTTGGATTACAACACTTGACAAGGAATGGACTCCATGCTGGAGCCTCGTACTCCATGATTGGTCTGACATGTGTGGTATACAAGGTTCTAAATGATTCCTTACACAAATTTCTAAAGGCAGTTCTGACGTTAGCCAGCTTCTCACACACCGCTGATGATATCCTTTTGATATGGGCTTCATTAGATAGGTTCGGTGCGATATCAAATCCTACATCATTCTCTCTGTCCGTTTCATGGAGGACTTCGTCTCCCATTCGGTGCCCGGTACACCCTCTGGGTCCCTACCAGAGGGGTCCTGGTAGTACTAGGGTACCTACCAGAGGAGTACTAGGAGTACTAGGGTCCCTACCAGAGGAGTACTGGTAGTACTAGAGTCCCTATCAGAGGGGTACTGGGAGTACTAGAGTCCCTATCAGAGGAGTACTGATAGTACTAGAGTCCCTATCAGAGGGGTACTGGGAGTACTAGGGTCCTTACCAGAGGGGTACTGGGAGTACTAGGGTCCCTACCAGAGGGGTACTGGTGTGGTAGGACACTAGAAATGTTAGCAGGATAGGCTTAGTCATATTAGTGAGAGTTATGAATGAAGTAGAGGATGGATGAGGTTAGAGATTGTTAAACTCACCCATGAGTCAGTGCGGAAGGTAGCGACAGATACTGAGTCACTGCAGTATAACTGTACCCGTGCTGAGGTACTCATTGGTGTGAGATGAGTAGACAGGAAACTCGCAAACAGATGTGGTCGTTGGTTGTGGTGGTCGGTAGTGGAGGTGGTCGCTGGTGGTGGCAGTGGTCATTGATGGTGGTGACCGTAGGTGATGGTGTTGGTGGGTCTAAGTCCGTCTGGAACTACGAAGTAATCTCCCTCACTCCTTCCTTGACCCCAACAGATGTGGTCGTTGGTGGTGGTAGTGGTGGTGGTGGCAGCGAGTCTGGGCTCGTCTGGTGTCCATGGACGGTCCGTTGAAGGGTCGTCGAGGATGGAGCGACTGTTGTCGTCTGGGTCGTCATCGTCGGAACCTCTCAGCTTCCTCTCCCAAGACCAGAGCGTCAACAAGCGACAGGTGTTCGACCAGGCTTGTAAAGGAATATACGACAGAGCCATCTTCAAGAAGCTTGACCGAGTGTGTGAAGATTGTTACAACTTGTACCGTAAACCCTACGTCGCCACCACCTGCAGGTGAGCTGCCCACTACTCTAGGTACCCACCAGCTGCCCACCACAGTTCGTATCCCCCGGGAGTAACTGCCAGTCACAATACCAAGTGCAGTCTTGGTACCTCGGCCGCATACTCAGAGCAGTGTCATTTCTTTGGGATTTATTATTAGATTATTTTAATTTTTATAATTTCAGTTAACATAATTTAGTAATATTTTAATTTTATTTCAGTATCTCTCAATATTTTCTAAATTTTAATAAATCTTTATATAGTTTACATTTATTTGAAAAAATTTAATTTATTTTTATATAATTTAAGTTATTTTGTCGTACTTTCTTATTATTCTCGGGTTCTATAAAAACTTCTTATTGTACTTTTTTTTTAGTTTCATATTGTTTTAAAATTTATTTATAATCCTTTTATTATTTTATATAATTTTATTTAACTTAATATTTTGCCCCTCTCCCGTTTTCTATACGACCTATCAGGACTAACTGCTTCGCTCACTCAGCGTTCCAATTTTGTGTGATGGACCTGGGTCTCAACCTCGACTTGTACAAACAATTGAGCGAAATAATCCGAGGATAATAATCAGCAATTAAAGGTTTGCTTTGACAACATAAATTAAAGGTAAGTAAAGCAAGTCTCATATAATAAACTACTGAAGCCTTGCTTGCTGCTGCCCTCAGTAAAATAGTAATATTAGATTATTTTGTTTTGAATCAATTATTTAATTTTTCATGTAATTTATTTATTCATCTAATTTTTATATTTGTTATCTATAATTAAAACAAATATCCTTGTCTCCGATAGTCTCCGTGGTGTAGTGGTAAGACACTCGTCTGGTGTTCCGCGAGCGCTTTGTCATGGGTTCGTATCCTGGCCGGGGAGGATTTGCTGGGCTCCTTAACTGAATTCTGTTTAAAACAGTAAAATGGGTACCTGGTTGTAAAAATGATTCTTCGCGGCAGGGGGTCGTATTCCAGGGACCTGCCCGAAACGCTACGCGTACTAGTGGCTGTACAAGAATGTAACAACTCTTGTATATATCTCAAAAAAATAGCTCTGTTAAGATTTAGCAAATTTTCCTTAATAAAGTACTCAAGTTTATTATTTAAATCAGGATATGTAACCTGTACAGACAAGATTAGAATAGTTGCCGGTAACTATTTCATTTTTTTTATTAATTTTTTTTATTTAAATTTCATTAATTTCATTCAAATTTTCATTACGTATTTCGTCCAGCAGTGAATCGGCAATGATTTTGCGAGTCGAATTCCGGGGAACAATTAGGATTAAGGACCTGCCGGAAACGCTATGAGTGTTAGCGGCTTTACAAGAATTTGAAAACTCTTGTATTTATAAATAAAATAAAATAAAAAAATAATTATTCGTTTATGGTTATGTTTGATGAAGTTTTTCTTGGTCACTGTTGAATATTTTACTAATTGTAGTTAATGAGTTTAATTTGTGTCACTAGTGTCAACACCTGGAGTGCCTAACAAGCTTTGTCTCCTCCACAGACAAAACTGCTATGCCAATTCCGTCTTTCGTCAATGCCTTGACGACCTTCTCTTGATAGACGTTGTTGACGAGTACATCTCCGGCGTCCAAACTGTCGGCAAGTAAGGTGACAGATCTGTCACCCCGACCTGCCCTCTTCTCACCACGACCTGCCCTCTCTCACCACGACCTGCCCTCTCTCACCACGACCTGTCCTCTCTCACCACGACCTGTCCTCTGCCACCGCGACAAGCCATTTCTCCACCACTACCACCAACACGACATGCCCTCTCTCCACCACTACCACCACCACAACCTGATCTCTTCCACCATGACCTACCTTCTCCCTCCACGACTTGCCTTCTTCCTTAACGACGAACGCTCTCCCCACCACTAGGATTTGATCCTCTCTCCACCATTACAACCCCTACCACCTGCCCTATGAACATTATTACCACCACCACCACTACAACCTACCGTCTCTCCACCACTACAATCTACAGTCTCAACACAACTACAACCACCACGGCCTGTCGTCTCTCCATCACTAGACACCTTTGAGCAACTCAAGACATCTCTTGGCACAGATGGACATATCTGGGCACGGTTGGACTCATCTTGACACATCTTGGCACAGGTGGACATTTTTTGGCACAGTCTGACATATCGGGGCACAGTTGGACACATCAAAGCACAATTGGACACAGCTTAGCACAGTTAGACATTTCTCTGCACAGTTGGTCACAGCTGGACTCAGTTGGACAACATTTGGGCACAGTTTGACATTTCAGGGCACAGCTGGACACATCTGGGCACAGCTGAACTTATCTGGACACAGTTGGACACATCTTGGCACAACTGGATACACTAAGCCATATTTGAAGTGCATTTGGGTTACTTGCGAACGTCAAGGAAAATCGGCTAGCGTGTGGCATTGCATTCTAAGGACACACATTGGTCATCTAGCTGCCGGGAGGCTTGCTTGGGTGTCCGTGGTTAAGCTATGGACGCCAATGAACCTCAAAGGATGCCAACGGATGCCGGCATCCGGCAGACGCCCGTAGATGCCAGCAAACGCCTGTAGATGCCAGTAGACGCATATGTGTGCCAACGGACGGCCATAAGTGTCTCGACGCTTACGACAAGAGCAGTCGGGTCATGGGGCACTCCAAGCCTTCGGAGCTCTCTCAACAAAGTTGATAACTAATCTGAGAATATGTTCTTTCTTTGACCACGAGACACCGCCTGTGCCAGAAGTCACTGTCACTTGTGCTTGGAGTCACGGTGCCAAGCTTACAGTCGTGGCTGACGACGCCGTGCTATTATCTGTATACATGTATACATTATCTATATACAAGTATAGACAGACACGGAAGCTTATACATATATCCATGTTTATTTATCTTAAGCCATCGATTTTAAGGTGTAATATTAGTATTTACCTGAGCCAAGTTAAATAGTTACTATCGTATATGTATGAGAGATAGAGAGTTGATATAGAGGTATAAGAGGTAGGGCTCAGCTTGACACAGTTATCCCTCTCAGCCACATTTTCAGTCATGTTTTTAGAGAAAACAATTATATTTTCTTACTGAAGTTTATTCAGTAAGAAAATACTGTACTAATTTTTACTGAAGTTAGACTCTTTCAAACAAAACTGTTCATACACACTCTTAGATATACAAGTACAATATACAAAAGTGATATACACACATGAAGGGCAGCTGGTCACGGGATAACTTGCTATATTTTGTGTACTGTATTGAACCGTCGGACCGTCTGGGAGATGAAGGCTTCTCTGGTAACACTACTTGCCTATATTGTGTAGGCATTAATGAACCTCATTTTCTATACCAAAGATTAATGTAATGAGACAAACAGACAGACAGACAGACAGGAAATAAGACAAACAAATTTACTAGTGGTGGAGCGCTGCGACTATCAACACCTCTTGTGTTTATGAGAATAAAACTGCATCAAATTATTGCATTTCCTTGTCCTTGTGTGAAGTTTGGAGACCAAATTATTGGAAGGTGTTGATGAAAAGACACTTCTCACTTGGTAACAATGAACATATATTCACTACTTAATACTAATACAAAGCACAACAATTTAACGTTACCTTAAAGTCAGTTGTGGCACACACTGCAACACTGTACAGTCAGCCAGTGTAGTCGAACTCCCGTTCAGACCGCTCGCGGCTCCTCAACATGAACTAACTGAAAAATATTAACAGGGAAGATATCAACATTAGCTGTGAGTGACCACTCAGACGCAAGTACCAGTTCTTAGCGACTGCGGTAAAACAGTTCAAAATAACAACAACAATAAAGACACCACAGACAGACCTGTCACAGAGACAGTCTTCTGTGCATTAAGTTGTTAAGGCTCGTCTCTCATGACGGCAGTCAGGACAATCAATTACGTTACAGTACTATGACAAAACTCAAAACAATTGATCTAATATATTTCAATCAGTACAACAGGTTTAACACAATTACGTTAATTACTGTCTCTTGGACAGACAAATGCAGGTAATTTATGCTAATTCTATATCTGTCAACACAGATAGTCAGGCAAACACTGTTTATCAAAGGTAATCACTCTAACACCAGGTAATAAGCAATCAGTCAGTAATCGCACTAAATACTGTCACTCTGTCAGCTGTTGTTGTTGTTAAAGACTCGCTACCTGGAACAAAGTTCCATGTAGCACGGGCTATGGTGAGCCCGTGACAGCTAATTGACTCATAATAAATAATGTTAAAACTGAGCTGATCACTTAGACAGCTTGACAATCAAGAATTAGTCAACACGTTGCTAATTACCTTACACTTCACTAATGACGTTTCTTAGTTACTCTAATTGCGCTCACTGACTCTTTTTGACTAGTTATATATGAAATTGGCTTCAACTGGTCCAAGTCTCAGCATCGTAGCATAAATAGGAAGGGAGAAGAAAATATTGAATTATGCGTCAAAAATTTTCCAAAATGGTCAAAAATTAACATCAAACACAAGTATCAACTGAAATCATGTCTATGGCTGTAAGCTATCACAATAGCACATAATAAAGTATTTTAATAATTAGTTTTATGCAAAAAAAAATAAAAAAAAAATATTAGATTTTTTCTCTGTTTTTTTTATTGGTGATTTGCATGAAACTTAACCCACCTTACAAAACGGTTGCCTATCTGTAAGTGTACAAATTTTGGAGGAAATTGGTTGATGGTAATCTCAACCACAGGTGGCAGAATCTTTGACTTCATTTATTGTCAAGTAAAATAAAATTGCTAGTCCTCTTTCATTTTTTATTCAGTTTACCTGAAATTTACACCTTATATGTAGAGTTTACGTCTCTACAATCTCTCTCTCAAAAAAACTTTATTCCTAAGTTCATTTATTGATTTTATAAATATTTGCAAACATGAAATATTGGCATAAATTTGGGGGAACTTTGACTATTTGTATTAGTAAAACTAAACATATTTTGGATAATCCCCTGTAACATATCCCTTATTATATGCTAATGTGATAGATGAGTGTCATAGAAATTATTTAATTTGAAACTTGTGGTTGTGCTGAATTATTCAAATTGTGTAAAATTCGGTGATTTTTTTTCTCTCACACTTTCTACTTAGGGTACAGTACTGAAACTTGGGACAGTTGCAGCCTTTTTATATACAACTAGTAAAAAAAATTTGGTTGACATTGAACAACTTTGAATATCCAGCGTTATGCCCCCCTTAATGAGAACAGGCCGTGAGGCTGACTTGAAACAGCACAAGGAATATGCACTTCTGATAATAACACAGTAAATTAATTAATGAATACTCACTTTGATAAACCGACTTACATTCAAACAACCTCTCTCATTCAGTTAATATTCCTGCCGTCGATTGAAGATCTAACACCTCACCAACCACACGTGTTAGATCACTTTTACAGGAACACGTGTGGGTGGAGGTGTGCGTGGCAACAACCACTGAGGTGTCCAACAACCACTCAGGGTCACAGAGGTGATAATCGCTCACTCCTAAAGGGTGGCGTGAAGAGACGAGCCGGGACACACAAGCAGGTGTAGGCGAGGTGGGGCCCGTGTGGCGGAACACACGGGGTAGGTAAGTGAGGTTGATAGAAATTATACAAAGTCCACAACAGTTCGTAATTCTAGGTTATTCACTCGAAGCTGACTTAGGTCACTGGGAATCGTCTTAGATTCCTACTAAACAGTTTACCGAGCGATATGGTGACGGATCACTGGTACTAAAGCCGATGATCACAGATAACTTTAGGCAGTCCAGTTCTACACTGCCGTGATCGGAGGCAGAGTTACTCTTCGGGTATCACTTATCTTGGTTAATATATATATGCGCGTCGTTGTGGAACCGGATTCTGACTTGACGGAATCACGTAGACGTGATTGATATATAATGGGCTTATGACGTCGCGTTAAATGGTGAATTCTGTGACTTTGGCTGGAGTCACGGGTTGTGCGTCCTAACCAAGTCGATCTAGCCGTTTATAATTCCCACTGTCCAATTCAAACGAAACAAGTTACAAATAAAAGGTTAAACACTCCATGGCCTTCATAGGGTATACTTAAATCTATTAATAAAAAAAATGACCTTGAGAAGAAGTATAAGTTAGGAGTCGTCTCCAAAGAATTTTCAAAGATTTACTCATCGATGCTAAAATAATTAGATCTAAAATAATTAGAAGAGCCAAAATATAATACTATGAGAATAAATTTACCCAAATTAAGGGCAACATTAAGAAAACATGGAGCACTGTTTCCCAAAAATTAGAATCAAAAAAAGATTTTCAATAAAAAAAAAAATACTCCTATCCAATGACGATGGTGTGCTTTCAGCCTCTGACACTGCTATTGAATGCAATAGGTTCTTCCCATCCATTGGGACATCCCTTGCTCATGATATTCCATCCTCCCATACTAATGTCAAGGACTACTTTACAGGTAACTATCCAGAGTTTCTGTACCTAACGCCTGCTAACTGTACTGATGTTAATGAGATAATCCTTTCCATTAAAACTAAGTCAAGTGCCCTTGATGAGATACCATCACTAATTTACAAAAAAAACTCCAGATTTCTAGCTCCTGTCATTGCATTGCTCTTCAACAAACCACTTGAACTCCAAACCTTTCCGGATATTCTAAAAAAAAAAAAAAGCGAGAGTAACCCCAGTCCATAAATGTGGTGATCTCACTGATGTCAACAATTACAGACCTATATCAATTCTGCCAACCTTGTCAAAAATATTTGAAAAGCTAATCTACAAGCAGCTTTACTCTTATCTAGCCAAACACAATATACTTAGCTCCTGCCAATATGGTTTCAGACCCCAAAAAAAGCACTAACGATGCACTGATTAGTATGATTAGCTTGATACATAAAGCTCTTGATAAAAATGAGTTCCCTGTTAAGATATTTGTGGACCTACGTAAGGCTTTTGACACTGTCAAAAACCTTCTTCTTAAATTACATCATTATGGAGTCAGAGGACACTCCCTCCAATACCTTCTGTCTTACCTTACTGACAGGCTCCAGTATGTTTCTGTGAATAATTCCATTTCTCCTACCCTACCCATAAATATTGATGTTCCACAGGGCAGCATACTTGGCCCTCTTCTCTTTCTCATCTACATTAATGACCTTCCAAATGCCTCTCAACACCTCAAACCAATCTTATTTGCTGATGACACAACCTTCATTTTCTCCAGTCCTGACTCTCTTGCTCTAAATGTCACAGTGAATACTGAACTAAATAAAGTCCATCTTTGGTTAACTGCTAACAAACTCACCCTTAATATTGACAAAACTTTCTATGTTTTGTTTGGTAATAAATCCTAAAATGAAATTAATCTAAGAATAAACAATATTCAAATAAGTAATAAAGTTGATGGTAAATTCCTTGGTGTCCTCATCGCTAATAAGCTGAATTTCCAGGGACAAATTCTAAATATAGCAAAAAAAGTTTCAAAAACATTTGCCATTCTTTCTAAGATCAGATATTTTTCATCTCACCCTGCCCTGGTGATGCCCTATTACTCTCTCATTTATCCTTATCTCAACTATGGTATTTGTGCTTGGGGTTCTACTACCCAAAATCATTTATGTCCTCTAATTACTGAACACAAAGCTGCTATTAGAACAATATCTAACTCTGGTCCCAGACATCACTCGGTACCCTTACTCAAATCTCTGAATATGTTAGATATTAAGTCACTGCACATCCTCTCATGTGAACTCTATATGTTTAAAACTCTGAACTATAATGTCAATCCTGACCATAAAAGCTTCATAGAAGGTTGTAACAGAACCCATGGGCACCACACCAGAAACAAATACCTATTTGATATTCCTAGAGTACTACTTAACCTTACTAGAAATGCTTTACAAATCAAGGGACCCAGAATGTGGAATGACCTTCATAATCATGTCGAAGGCTGTACCTCTCTCAACCAGTTTAAGATAAAAACGAAGCACTACCTAATAAATTCCCTGTAACCTACCTTACCCCTCTATTGTCAATCCATGTCTGTTTTTTTAAACAACGCTGTTTGTCGACCTAATTGTATTTGTGCTGCTTTTTCAGCCATGTCCCTCCCCCCCCCCCCTTTTATTATTCCTTTTTTTCAACACAATTTATACTTTTCCCAGTTACTATTAAGATTTAGTCTAAGTGTTGTTATTTCCCCACATCTTGCCCGAAACGCTATGCGTATTAGTGGTTTTAGTTTAGTTAATTTATTATGCGCCCCATACCCATCTTGTGGGAGGCAGTGGAAAGGGCTACAGAGGCACACAATTGGCTCAGAGACTGAACCCCACAATTCACCCAGCCAAGCAAGTTACAATCTCGTTGAGCCAGCTACAAAATTCAGTATAAGTCGTCACATCATAAATGGGCTCGAAATCGACAAGTAGTGCATTACATAATTTATCAGTATTGTGCAGCCTG